TCAACAGTGGTATGTCTCCGACACTTCTCTAAGACTTGGCCAGTTTGATAAATTCGGTTACAGTCATACAATATTGGTTGATTATTTGACCTAACTATTAATGGTCTGTTTCGCGTCTATTTACAGACAACGATGAGAAAACTGGCCAAGGGTACGTACAATTGCGCATGGTATCATCGAAGGGGTTTTACATTGGAAAGAGATAATTGAAGAAGATAACCATTTTTTAACCATGAGTAGTAGATCTAGAGCTCATTAACATTGATCTCTTTTTTCAATCGTATTAACGAATCAAATGATCCGTTATTCACGTGTCGTATAGCCACAAGATTTGGTACCATACGCATGTCAAAACAATTACTAGAAATCGATCTAAAGTTCGCTAGTGTTGCATGTTCTGCATGTTCTTTTCCTATCCGTGAAATAAAGGTGGACAGTATCATAAATAGTTATATACACAAGTCAAAAAACGTTGCATCATTTTTTTCTTACCGTGCAATGGAGAAAATTTGTATGCAAAACAGAGCTTATTTATACATGTTATTATTATTAATTTTATTATTATTTTTTGGAACGCTAACCTATTTGAATTTTTCTGCTTGTACATCTCCTTTTTTTTCCTTTTTTTTGTTTTTTTGGTCCATTGTTTAACTAGTCGTTGCTGTGTGTATTCTGTAAAATTTCTGGCAAAGGAATTCTGTACATAGCACTTCTTATCCTATTTTCACTAGGGGGAAAAAATCTATTTAATTCAATCCCTTATTTTCTATTTCACCTCACCAAGAGAAAGGGGAAGTAAGACAAATCTGCACAACCTGTACACTAAATGAATAGTGCTACGTAGCAGACCACATATCTCACAATTGGTTAAAAATAAATGTCCGCTACCACTTAAAACCAGTGTTCTAAAAGGCGTAATACGTGACAATACGTTAATGCCAAGCTAAAGACAATGCAAGATTAGACAAGGCAAATGCGTAAAAAAACGTTAAAAAGTATTTTCTTATTTTAATATTATTTTAAATTTTTAATCAATAAAAAATTATTTAATAATTATAAATTATTCAATAATTATAAGTTTCAGCTTTAAAAAAACAATAAAAAAAAAATTTCTAATAATGCACACCTTGACACCTTAACCTTGTCTCACGTCTGTTGACCGCCAAATAAGGCACCAAGCAGCACCTTAGCCTCACGCATTGACGCGCTATTTAAAACACTACTTAAAACTGAAGATAAACATCAATAGTGTGACTTATGTCTCTTGCGAGGGTGGCATACCAGTCGAGGAAGGCCTACCACTCGGTCAAGGTTGACCGCAGTGTTGGAATACACCACCCATGGTTAAGAAATGGTTTATCTTCTCCAATTTTGTCTCTCCAATGTAAAACCCCTTCTACGGTAGCATGCACAATTGCAGAGACATTTTGTTCATTTAATAATTATTTACAAACATTCTAGGCGCACGACAAATTTATTAAAACTGTCTATATGATATTACACAAGTTCAAGAAACAAAATTTAACAAATTATGTATTCAAGCATTACCAAACCCTAAAAACTTCCATCCGATATCATATTGTTGAGTTGCATTCATGCATACACCAAGGGATGGTGGAAAGCCTTTGCTCTAGTTGATCTCTAGCGTACAGCTCGAGATCTCAAAACCATATGCTCTATGTCCATAATTGGCTATTTAGCTCCAGCTTACGCTATAAAGCCAAACAATCATTCACCTTAATCGCCTACATAACTAAGGACGAGTAAGTAACGACGCAGATTGCCAGTCCCTGAAACCCCGGGAAATAAAACAGTTACAATGTGAACTATTTCTGGAGGGATACGCAAAATAACTAACTTGGAAGCAATAATAAGATGAATATGCACAAGTACCTCGAGAAAGGCCTTCGTATCATGGGCATATGTATTCAGAAAAATTCACTTTGCCGAGATAAACAAGTTTCATTTCCTCCCTCCAAATCTGCAGTGAAGAAAGTTACAATTTATGGTTCACTTGTTTAGAAGGGAAAAGTTAACGGATACCATATACAATTCAAGCAAATACCATATCACGAAATTCCAGCCGAATATGAGGGACATTTGTCCTGTGAATGTCGTTTCCATCCGGGCCTCTCTTGAAGTACTCCTTGCCTATCCAGTGCGCCTGATAACAAATTCAAGGCTCAAGCTAAAAACTTGGAAACTGATTTTGAGGTCACCAAAATATGGGAAATTTCCAGAAATACCATATACCTTCAAAGCATGTGAAAAACCAGACTGATACACTGAATTACGGGCAATCTCGCATAAATCACACGAACTCAACTTCCATACCTGTAAGAAGAAAAACGATAAGAGACAAGTTAGAATTTTATCAACCAAATCCATACAATGTGCAAAGCACGAGAACGGAGTACTCACAGAGGCAGCAATACTGTACTCTTCCACCAGGGGTTCTTTAGTTAAGTGGATTTGTAATGGATCATCAGTCGAGAGGGAAACGTTGAGACCCCTCAGGAAAAACATGGGGAATGGATTCCGATGGTAGTCTAAGAATAAAGAGTTGTTGCTCAAAGGGGACATAGCCAGACCAATCTGATGATTAACACGTCATTGTAAACCATTAGAAACAACCATATGATCAAGTGTATTTACTTATTTTTACATTTTTCTTCTCACCTGAGCTAGGTAGTACAGATATTGAAGCACAGGAGATTTTCTCAGATTGATTCCATGTGCAATATTATGAGCAGTGAGAAATGTTGCAGCAAGGTGGTCAATGTCACCAGCCTGATTATGTTAATAACTTCTCAGGTAGCTGAAAATTGAAATTATAAAAAATGAAGCTTCGACTGCTTACCTCTCCAGAATGTGGCCGGAACTTAATAGTCGTCATGCCCTTTGACTCACGTAGCTGAGATGTCCCAGTCATAAGTTAAAATCCAAGGAATTTAAAACAGAATACAGGAAGTTCGGTGAACTGCGCAATAAAAGTAATAACAGGTATAGTTGAAACTCCTTGGACATTCCCTTTACCGTGTAAAGACTGGTTAGCATTTTCTTTAGAAAGATAAAAATGTTCCTATTATAAAATGTCAACAGAAGTACTCTATTTCGTCATTTAAAGTAAAACAGTTCTGTGTAATCCAGGTGTCATTTCTAGCAACAAGATGCTATGACATGGCAGAGTAATGGTATTTCAATGCATATGACATAACTCGATTTGAATCAAGTTACACCTGAAAATGCTACAATATACACAATGGCATTCGAGCTAGCATTGATTGAGAAAAATATCTATGAAGTTATGATGTACACCTTGTTCAAGGTATAGAGATTAGCATAACAGTAGTACACGTAATATGAAAATGCAGGATTGAATATATTGGTCCACTGTGCCGGTGTAGGCATGTGTTTCGTTGGTCGTCTTTCGGGCTTACTTTCGTCATCAACTAGATCCAATCCAACAACCTGTTAGAACAAAGATAACGGAATTGTAAGAGTAAAAAAGATACAAAGGAAAAAGATACAGAGAAGGAAAAACAGATGAAGGTGGTTTGCAAACACATTCATAACACCCAAAAGAGTACCACAAAAATAATTAATGAACCAACAGGAATGACAAAAAGAATTGAAACAAAATGTATTGCCTTGTGGAGAACTCGGGCATGAGGCTCAAGTAATTGAACTTGCAGCGTTTAAATTTTTGGTTGGTTCAGTAGAATAGTTAATGAATGGAACTTTCCTTGAGAACCACAGATATTTTTTAATATGGATAACTTGTAATAAGTTGCATCACAATAATTATAAGATAGGAGCAGACAAACCTGTTTCAAAAAAACATGGAGCTGAGGATGAGAATCTGGATCAATAGTGACCTCGAACAGAGGTAGAAAAATATTGTCAAGAATGTTCTGGAAAGAAGTCACAATTCCCATCTCCTTGTAAACATTGTAGAGTCTTGGAAGCTAGATGGTAGAAGTTCCAGAATGAGAATGAAAAATACCCAAATTTCTGATTTGGAAATAAATTAAATTGCACATAAAACCAACATACAAGAAATGAGAAAGGGAACATTAAAGAAAGTATATCAAAATTTTTAAGCACTGGACGTGAGGAAAAGATTCTCTCTCTCATAACCACCATACTAATTCTGTTTCAATCTTATCAATTTATATTTCACAAGAAAAAGCAGAGAATAATTTGATTGCAGTTAGAAAGATTTTCATGGTGATGGTTTCAGAATTTCAGTCTGAACTACTAGAAATGGCGGCCTTCATATTCTAATGTAGCCCAAAATCATCTACGTTCAATATACCCGATATTGCAACTTGAAATAAGGCAAAACTGTCAAGTATTCAAATAAGAATCCATCAATATTTCAGATTGCTTGCTATTTCAATCGAAACAATATAAATTCAATCACTTTTTATCCCACTTTTAATAAAATTAACTTTCCAAATTTTTTCCAGACCTGGTGCTAAATATAATCACCATAACTGTAAGATGTAGATATTTTCAGAAGCTCGTTGTATCCAGAAGTGTTACAATTCGTATACTATAGGATGAGAGGGAACCAGTTACCTGAATTAACCAGACAACATTCTCACTGTACAATTCATTATTTACTATCCAACTTGCCAGCTGGTCCCACTCACTCATCTTTCTGCCATATATTGATATTCGATACTCGGCCATCTGTATTAGAGTGAGACATCTTAAAATGAAAGATTTTACATGTACATTTTTATTGTTAACCATACGACAATTGTGTTCCCTCAAACGGGTATAAAATTAACTGTATACATTTATTGTGAAAAAAAACATTTCAGGAAAAAAAAAAAAAAAAAGATACTCAAATTTACTGTTTACTGATAATGATAATTCATATCCTACTCACTCATCTTTCTGCCATATATTGATATTCGATACTCGGCCATCTGTATTAGACTGAAACGACATCATATAAACAAAAACTGGAAGATTTAACAAATACATTTGTATTGTTAACCATACGACAAGTGTATACCCTGAAAAGCGTAAAAATCAACTGTATACATTGAATGTGTAAATACAAATTTCAGAAACAGAGCGAGACTCAAAATTTATCCTATACTGATAATTCATATATCTTGCTAGGGTTATCCGACATTTTCAGCAATGTACTACTAAATACCACCATTAAGTATATTTTAAAAGCATCCATGATATCAACACCCAGTAAACAATCTATGTAATACAAACTGAAACAACTCCCTCCAAATTCCGGTTCCCCAACCTGCCCACCAAAAGAACTAAAGTGGATCCTGCTTTCATAAAAATATGGGAAAATTGCATTATCGGTCCCTAACCTTTTCAATTTTTGCAGACTTTAATCTAACTTTTATTTTGTGCCAGCGGAGATTCCTAACATTTCATAAATATGCACCTGAGATCCATATGGATGGAAACCGTCCAAAACACCGTCAGTCAACCAAAGAATTAAGAAATCAACATCCAATAAAACTGTCCAAAATACCGTCCAAAAAGGTATGAGCATCTAATAAAACCGTCGCGATAGCAAATAGTTCAAGGAATTTTCTCGATCAACTGACGGTGTTTTGAACAGTTTCCGTCCAAATGAATCTCAAGTGCATATCTATGAAAGGTTAGGGACTTTCCCTAGCACAAAATGAGGGTTAGGGTAAAGTCTGCAAAAAACGAAAAGGTTAAGGACCGTTGCTGCAATTTTCCCTAAAAATAGTAATCATCCAATAAAAATTACATATACTAATATTAACAGGAAAAGGGAAACCCACTTGATATTTACTAGCTTCCAGATCAGAAAAAACTTGCTTAGTGAGTTCACCGAGGAACCGACCTGTTGGAAACATCACAAGTTGTATTAGATATCCAAGCTCAAAAACAGAAGTCTAGGGCTAGTACAAGACATCAACTATAGATTATAGTGACTCCCACAATTGTTTCTTAGATGAGTATTTGAGTTATAACTAGATTTCAATAGCCCCAAAAGATCAAGAGAAAACAACTTTAACATATTCCAATCATACTTTTGCATTTAGGAGAATGCATTTGCTTTGTTTAATGCACTTGCTACTTTTTAGTGTTGCGTGATGGTAATATTTTGAGACATGGTGAATTGTTATATTGAGGTATTTATGGATGATTTTTCAATTTTTGGGAATGCGACTGATGATAGCTTGAAAATTAATCTTGTGTTGAAACTATGTAAGGAGACTAATGTTGTTCTACATAGGAAAAAAAATATCACTTCATGGATAAGGAGGGTATAATTTTTGGCCCATCGAATAGATGTTGATAAAGAAAAAAATACAGGAGATTGAGAAATTACAGCCACGAAATTTAGTGAAGGAAATAAGAAACTTTCTAGGACATATATATTTCTATAGGAGGTTCATTCAGGAATACTCCAAAATAACAAAACATCCATGTAGCTTGTTCGAGAAAGATATGTCATTTCATCTGTTTGATGAGTGTTTCATTGATGCTAGTGAATATGCAATGGTAGTAATGGGATGGTATAGGGATAAAATTCTTCATTTTATATGTACAAATCAATTATGTTACTACTAAAAAGGAGATGATGGATGTAGTCTTTGCGTCTGAAAATTTTCGTTCTTACCTCATTGGGTTAGTGATAATAGTCTACATTGACCATGCTGCAATGCAGTATCTATTTGAGAAGAAAGATGCCAAACCCACGACTGATTCAATGTTATTGCTACAAGAGTTTGATATTGTGATTTGGGATAAAAAGAACAAAAAGAAATTAAATATTAGATCACTTATTGAGGCTTGAAAAGACAAATGAGGCTGAGGATGCAGAAATCAATGAAGTATTTCCTGATGAGTAGCATATGAGATTGGAGAGCCACTTGGTCCTAGAAAGTTAAGTATCTTGTCAGTCAAATAGTTCACTAGGAGTCCATTGATCAGGGAAAGAAAAAGCTTCTCCACGATGTGAATTATTTATTTATTTTTTATTTTTGAAGAAGGTGTACTTATACCGAAAGGTGCCATATCAAACTATTAGAAGATGCATATTTGAGGATAAGATGAAACTGACTTCTAAACGAGTCATTGCTTCGCCATATGGTGTACATTTTAGTATTGTCAATACAGCTACCGAAGTGCTTCAGTATGGTCACTTTAGTCGTACGGTTACCGAAGTGTTTCGAAAAGAAGATAAATTATAAGTTATGAAAAATTTGGCAGAACAAATGGGTGATAAGAAAATGACGTGTGTAGATTAGAAGCCCAACAACTCTTATAAATATATGACTAGTTAAGCATAAAATCCTTCAATAAGCACATGCAAACTGTAAATTCTCTTCCAATCTTCAAAAATCTTTAGAGCAATAAAAATGAAGTAACACCATCTTTTTCAAAACATAATTCCCTACCACTACTCTCAACATAGCCCTCAAATTACCCCACTAACATCGAACAAGAAATTCCTAAAATCTTATTTACAATTTTAAGTGGACAGAAGATTTTTCCTGTCCTTATCTGGTTGAATTAAGAGGTCTAAGTTGCCTGAAGAGAGAGGGAAATGTTGTTCTAAAAAAGAGATACACCTGATTAATTTATTGCTTGAATACCTAAAATGATTTTTTGAAAACAAATCCATGTGATCCTTCCCGTGCTTATGTTTCTCAGATTCACCAGCAATGCACAATCGGCTTGCTCTTAGCCATTCGATATAACTTTTGACGGATTTGGAACTTTCCCATTTATCTATATATATACATTACCAGATTTGAAACCGAAACAAGCTTTTTCCATACTCAGATCTCTCAATTTTCGCTTATTGTGCTATAAGTTTCCAAAACTTGTTCTAATTTCCATCTTTAGAAGGTGTTGGGTTTTTTGATACCCAATAATCCGGGCGATGATTTAAAATAGTTGTCGGATTATTTATCGACACCATGGACTTGGCTCAACTCGGAGATGAACTACACTTTTGGATGGTTCGGGTTTGGGTTGAATGATTATTTGGTTAGTTGGACCATTTAGTGATTATTATGGAGTTGAATATTGGCCCATTAGTTTAAGTTAATTGGTAGCCCACTTAGTGAACCCTAGGCCCAATTAGAGTGACCTAAACTAACATATATATATGTATTTATCTCCCAGCCGTTTTTTGGTAGTGTGTGTGTGTGTGTGTTGTAGCAATGGAGAGGAGAGGCAACCGAGAGAGAGGGAAGCCATGTGAGGTTGTGAGTAAGATTCAACCAGTGTTCTTCTTCCTCTCCATACCTTTGTGGATTGCTAACACCACCACCATTCTCCTTTGTGGGATTTGAGAGAGTTTGGACAATCCAAAGTGAAGGTGAAAGTCTTGGGTCGAGCCAAGGTAAATCGGTGTTCGTTTGATTGTTTTCTGAGCCCGGAATCAAGATTTATCGAAGAATTTCCGCTACAGAAGGCCATACTCAGACAAGACCATGGCTATTCGCATGGCTCGTATTATTCAAAGTAAACAATTTTTTAGGCGATTTTCAAAAGAAACTGATGTTCCAAAGGGACATGTTGCTATTTATGTTGGGGAGATTCAGAAGAAACGCTTTGTTATTCCCTTAACATACTTGAATCAGCCTTTGTTTCAAGATTTATTAAGTCAAGCTGAAGAAGAATTATGATTCGATCATCCAATGGTGGCGTTACCATTCCATGCAACGTTGATATTTTCACTGAACTCACGTCTCGCTTGAGAAGAATATGAGATTATAGACTAATTGTTCTCTGTAGAGTACAATTTTGTAAAGAAATAGCTTATATAGAATTATCTTGCATTTGTTTCACTGCTCTCTCAACCGAGAAGGAATTTGCATAGGGGCACATTGTCCTATGAAAAGTGTAAACACAGATATATTCATCGACAAAGTTAATTGTTAACTTTAATTTAGATTAAAATTTAGATTTCAATCGATACCAAATAGGACTTTATCTAAAAAAAATACAAAAAACAAAAATATCAAAAGTTGGGGGTTCACGTGACCTCCCTCCCCGGGTCCGTCCACAGTTTGATTGTAGTGGGAGAAAACAAACTCAAAGTTTGAAATAGAAATTTCCAAAAGAATCTTTTAGAAGTCCTTTAGTACAAACATTGGTATAATGAAGAGCACCTACTGCGAAGTTTCTCGAGCAAAATGCTAATCAATCTCATTATGTTTTGAGTGAGACATGTGAATGGCACTTTTATTGTCATTATATAGATACTGTAGCCATGTAGCTTCAGCAGAAGTGGTGGCCAGGGATCACTATTTTGAAAAGATACACAATCTGAGATAAGAAAGATGCAATAGCCGGTTGTGCTTGGCAATCCAAAGAGAATATTGCCCTTTAGTCTAGAGGCTGATTAGTTATCTATGACTATTTTAAGAAGTAAAAGATTCCAAGCCTATAATTCAGGACTGTATTCATTACAAAATTTAGGTATTCTGAGCTGATTTAAGTGTAAAAGCACCAACAAATTGGAATTGTGACTTGAACTTTCCTAGCAATTCGAGACTCCACTTCATGTAGAAGAAATTCATTGTCAAACTGATTATTTTTACTGGCTCGTTTCCTATTGTTATGTTTATTGTAATGACAATTCTTTAGATAAATTAAAATTACACAGAATTATAAAAGTCAAAGACTCAATGAGGATATTGTATAGGTCAATTAGGAGTCTTTGGATTTGAGTATGGGACAAGGAAACAAATTGCCACATTGATGCTCGCTCAATGCCAAGAAAATGCTCGAGCACTCAAAACAATGAAACTGACGCCACTTAATGCCAACCTATCAGGCGAGCATCAGCAAAATTTTAGTTTTTTGGGAAAAGCCGATCACGATTTAAATAGTTTTCTTTTAGTCCTAAACAACCCCAAACACCTTCTATTATATATTCCCAAGTTATATTTCATCAATTGATGTTGTTGATCATTATATTCTTCCCATAATTCATTTGATGGAGATCCTACATCAATTCCCCACATTGAGATCAGTTAACCACACATTGTAAACATCAAATTCATTTCTCATAACACCAAACCACCCACTTCTTAAATATATGTTAGAAAGTGTGAAGATTACAAAGGTTATGGGATTTAAGAAAGGCAACCAGCTATCAAGAGGTTGGCGTTAACAAGCCAAAGACCAAGTCTCACGTTGGACACAAAAGCCGAAACAAGTTGGAAAGCATTTCAATCAAGAACTCAAACTTGGAGGCAAGACGGGAGCCTTTGCGACTGCATGTACAAATTGGAGACACAAATTTTTTATAATTCGTGAAATCTCCTAATTTAGTTAAAACTCTATATTTTTAATATCTTTTATAATCTTTAGAATTTGATTTCGTTTTAACTATACTTATGAAATCCCCTATTTATGTTGAAATTCTATTTTATGTTAACTTTTGTAATCTTTAGATTTATATACCCTGTAAATAGAACTCAATATTTATATTTTAGAACAACTTTTATCATAAATAAAATTGAGAGATTAATTGTGAGCATATTTTGCTTTCAATCTTGTTCTTCAATGAACTAAATTTTCGAACTTACCAAGATTTATTTCTTATGTTGTTCAAACAATTTGGATGAGATTCTTGAGTCTTGTGATCAATGGTTCAACATTTTTGTCGGCAATTGTGTTGGTTCATTGGTTCAATATTTTTGAAGGAAACTCTAAACATTGATTCTTGGCTTTCTTGGGTTTAAATCAATCTTATGTGGGTTTCGTAGCTACTATTATTATGTGGGTTCCCATAAATTGATATCGGAGCTTGGGCTCCAAAAGTCAAAGTTATATCATTTTTCTCTTTTTTTTATTTTTTTTTATTTTTTTTTTGATTCTTTTGTTTTCTTTCCT